GCTCTGGTGCCCTTCCTGAACCCTGAACCCTGAACCCAAAACCCCAAATCCTAAAGCCTAAACCCTCTGCATGGACGGAGTCAAAGGTCTACAGAGGAGACCTGGCATTGCTCAGAAGGCTCTTCGAGTCCCTCGGGCCCCAAGGCTGTGAGGCTTAGGTTCTCGACTTCCGGCCTTGGAGGAAGGCGCTAAGAGAGAGTGAGCCCCTCTTCGTTGCAAGCTTTTCAGGTGAGGCGCCCGTTCCTGAATCGCCGCCTTCATCCAAGCTTCCGAGGCATTGCTTGCAAGGCTGGAAGCCCGGATATCATGGCCAAGGTCGTGAGCATCAGGATCCCAGGAGAAGAAACACTTTGAGCACCCTTCAATGGCAAGACAACTGGAATCTATGCGATGTCTCGCAGGATCCCAGTCGCTTCTTCCCAGGGAAGCTGCAGAAACCAGCGGCTGCAGAGGCGATGCATGGGAAAATCCTGCCCTGTATGGCTGCCCCTCACCAGCCACCTTGCAGCTTCGCGGCATCGCATCCTCACGGAGAGCGAGGAGAGGGAGGTCAGAGTTGGCAGATGGACCTCATCCTACGGAAGAAACTGAGGCGGCCAGCCGTGCTTGGTAACCCTTGAAGACACCAAGGCTTTGGGGAGCTTTAGACGATAGCTATGTTAGGGAACTCTAACGAGAAATTCTCTCTGCACAAGCTGCAGCAGGACGCCACCCGAAGCTGCGGCCTCCGTACAAGGGAGGAAGACCAGCCGTGCACCGCCGATCAGCAGCCAAACCGCTCGCGACAAGAAGCCGCAGACGAGGAAGCGAGTCTATAGGATTAAGAGGTTGTCGTCAACTGTGATCTGAACCGCCCAACATGGCACGGCATCCCTAGTTCATGATGCTTCGAAGGAAGGGGTCTCCTGGCTGTCCTCAGACAGCAGACCTCCACCAACCCGGCTAAACACCAAGCAGCCCGGCGACCGTATTTAAAGTGTCCATCAGGGCCACGAGAAGTAGCCCGATGTGGCTTTGATGAGGCTGCCCCGAAGAAACACGATGAGTGCTGGGACAGCAACGAGCACGAGGAAATGTACTGCGAGGGATTTGCAGGGGTGTCGAGTGCTTGCATGAAGGCTTTGCTTAGGCTTCACAAAACATCACGGTGGCATCACTCTGACCAGGAAGCCAGGAAATTGACGGACATGCCAAAGCATGTTGTGAGGGCGGGGGTGCGCGATACGCTCAGGCGTTGAGTCAAAGGCCCGATATAGAACTCTTCCACAGGGCCCAGAGCTCCGGAGACTCGTCACGATGGACGTCTGCATGGAACTACGTCGGCCCAGCATACGTGGCCCCCTCATGAAATACATGTTCAGTTCGTGAAACGTGTATTGTGGACCCTACCAGCGACATTGCAAGGCATTGTCTAGGACTGGGTCGGGTCTGGGGCCGGCGATCCTCTCTGCCTCATCTTGAGAAAGGCTCCTAGAAAGCAACCTGAGAAACCTTCGAGCTGAAACCTTCGAGCTGCAAGTCCAACGGATCACCGGCGCCACGGAATGCAGGAAACACAAGGGACACACCTGAGCCGCTGCACCTTGGCAGAGGCCTCTGTCGGCGAGGAAACCTGCACCCCAAACCACACCGGGCTCGCAGCGTCGCATAGTCACCATGGGGGGTCCTGAGTTGGGACCCGTTTGTAGGATCCTCGAAAAAAGGATCCTATGATTGTCACTTAGGTGATATTTTTTCGGGTCCCCACGAATCTGAAGCTTCCATGGCTGTGCGAAATGCCGGCTTGGTGCTGTGAGCCTTTGCTCAGAGCTCGTGGCATTAGGGTTTCCTCCTGCACGATGGCCCAGCTGTCGGAAGGCATCTTATGCTAAGCTACAGGCTCAATTTCAGCGAAACCTCTACAGCCACCTCAGTCATCCTTGTTTGCATGTGTTGGTCGCTGCTATCCGCTGGGTGGGACTTCTCGCCGACAGCTGAGCCGTGCAGCTTAGATAGAAATGGCTTGTAGCTCGATGCATCAGACCATACCGGCTACTCGAACTGATCCTCCCCTTTCGCCTTGATTTTCGAGTCACAATTCAACCTGAGACACTCAATGCCCGCCCAAGAGGTATCAACATCGGCCAGAGGAATCTGCACGGCTGCCGCAACAGAGCCGACGAAGAGTTTACACAGAGAGGCATTCCACGTGAACGGATCTATGCGGAAGGTCCTATGCCTGATACCTCCCGAATCGACACTGTCCTATGCATCGGCTCATGTTGACGAACTTCGTCATGGCTCCTCTTGCAAGAGCAGAGCTTCAGCAGAGCCGCGTCGACCCACTCAGATTGCTCCAGTTTTGTGCAAAACCTTCCGCCCCACGACGGCCGCCCCAGGTCTGCCTTGCACAAGCGGGCCCGTGTCAAAGCCCTCCTTCTCGCACGACAAGTCGCCAGGCACAATCCGGATGCAACAGGCACACCCCAGATTCAGCCACAAGCTGGGAGCCGCAGCAACTGGCGTCGACGGCTTCGGGCCTTTCGCATGTGCAGACATAGTGAGGCTGGCATGCTCGGAACCCCCTTCGCGAACCCAACATCGAACAAAGCAAAGAGAGCTTCGGGAACTCCTGAACAGGACCACAGCAACCCGCCGAGCTGAGCAGCCGGGGTGCAACGCTGGCAGTGACTGGGGGAGGACGTGATTGAAGCATTAGCACTTCATGAATGCGACGGAGCAGAAACAAGCTCCCCAGCGGTTTCTGACTGAAACCAGCAGCCCTTTGGTCCGAGCCCGTTGGCAATGCGATGAGCGGTTCAGAGATACCTCCAAGGATGAGCTGCACCGCACTCGCCTCTCGGAGAGCAAAAAAACTTCGGGCCTATCTGCTGTCTGATCCTAAACCCTGTGGGCCTCTGCCGCGGCTTTGAATGGCAGCTGGTCGTTGGCGGATGGGAACCGCTCAACCCAAGTGCACACTATCGCAGCGGACACCGACCGGATCAAGCAACTGCGAGCTGGCCCACACGCCGCCCCGCGGTCCCGGTTTCGGGCCCTCAGAGGAGGCTTTGAGTCCTGGGGTTCCTCAACATCCCGCGCTTAAAACGCACAAGCCACCGGCTCGGACGTCCTCGTTCACTGCATGCTGCAGGTCTCGAAGTGGAAGATGCTGCAGTTGGTGCAGTCGAGGCTGGCATAAAGCCTGGATGCTTTTGCTACTGTGACTACACTTTTGCTCTAATTACTGTTGTCACACTTTTGCTACTATTGCTGTTATTACCATTATTACTATTATTACTATTAGTACCATTATTACTATTATTACTATTATTACTATTATTCTTGTTATTGTTGTTATTAATGTTGCTCCTATTATTACAAATATTGCGATTGTCACAATTATTGCGGTTATAACTATTATTATTGCTATAGAACTGTTTTATTTGCTAGTATTACTAACATTGCTACTAGTATTACCATTATTGCTTTTACTATTAGCATTACCTTTATTACTACTGTTACCAATACTACTATTATCGCTATTACCACCATCGTTACACATGTCGCTCTTATTGCTATAACTACTAGTATCTTACTCCTATCTTGGAGGCAGAACCAAGGTTTTGGCTCTGGGACGTTCAGCGTCTAGGGTGTCGGTTTTAATTTGACGATCCTAGTGAAGTCTGACTTTTCATAACTTGCGAAGGTGAAAATCTCGACCGCCCGTTGCAAACAGGCCACCTAGTTAAGCAAGTCCACAGTGTTCACTCAATTTACTCGCTTTCCAGGCTGGCCTGTCATGTCCTGTCTATCCGAACTCAGAAGCGAACGCCAACAGAACTTGTGTAATGGCAACAAGTCATTCTGCTGAAGTCTGCCAAAGCAACGAGAACTTACCAAGCCTTCCTCTTAGCCTTGTGCCCCACTGCGTTTAGGGTCCAGGATTTAGGCTTTGGGGTTTAGCTAAATCGATCAATCCAACAAAATACGGTGATGTTGAAACCCTAAACTATATAAGCATCAGTAGAAGCTCCGTAGTTCAAAACACACGGCCACCCCGAACTATGAACCCGAAACCCCAGGACTCCAAGCTCTGATCCCCAAGCCAAACAGAACGAAGAAGCCCAAGAGACCCTAAACGAACACCCAAAGCCCAACAAAGAACGAAACCTAAAAGCCAGAAGGAAAACGCGCCGCTTCCAAACCCCAAAGAATCCAACACTCCCTGAACTGGCCTAGACCCTAAACCCTAAACCCCAAACCCTAAACCCTCAACCCTAAACCCCTAAACCCCTAAACCCCTGAACCCCTAAGCCCCTGAACCCCTGAACCCCAAACCCCTAAACCCCTGAACCCATAAACCCCTAAACCTTAAACGGCCCTAAACCCCTGGCCTTCGCAGAAGAACCTCACCAACGAGATGCTCGGCTCTGATTGGGCCAGCTGCCTGCGGCCGCCTCACATTGTAGGAACTACATATCTCTACTATATCCAAGACTTTAGACTCTGCAACACAGCTCACGTGGTGGCAACATGCGGCAGCGCCTGGTCACTGCACAAGTTCGCACTTGCGTGGCTGCCATGATGCGAGATTTACATCTTGCCGTAGATGCCGTAGAACGCGGAACGGCTGCTCATGACTCCTATGGCCTACTTCAGCAGATCTCAAGGCCAGATCTCCGGGTGCTTCTCATGTGGCTTGCTGTGGATCCCCTGCGGACTTCTTGAGGCTAAAGCGGGTGCTGCGGAACAGAGCAGGATAAGCTCCGAACTTTGCACAATGTGTCGCTACAATTATGATCAATTATGCATCTTTGCTCAAGTTTTGACTCCGCTCGGCTGACCACTTGTGCAGGGGTTCTAAATCTTAGACTGAGAAAGTGTGCTTCGGCCGGGAACGTGGAGCAACTACAGGCTCCAATGGCCCGAAACAGAACTCAACTTCCCAAGCACCTGAACTGCAGGCAGCGCGGGAACAAAATCTCACAACATTACTATGCTGAGAGCTACTACTTGTATCAGAGCAAGTCCATAAGGTCATCATCTGCCTCTGCAGGCATGGCAGGCGTAGGACGCTGCTTTTCAGCGTCAGAGGTTGCAGCCGAAGGCTGAGCTGGGGGAGCGTTGGCATCAGGCGGGGAGCTGACTTGGTCCTTCAGCGCAGGAGGACTGTGAGCATGGTTTGACCCTTGGTCTGCCAGCTTGGGCAGCTGACTTCGATTGCCGTCGTTGAGAGCATTGATGAGCTTGGTCGCAGGAGAGACCAACGATGCCAACTTCGGGATATCCTCCTTGCTTGCCGGGTCACCAGTCATGAGAAGACCCAATGGGGTGCAAACTTTTTGCACATAACCCAGCGCTGGAGCAAGCACACCCCATCCGCACTCACTAGACACGATCTTCGTCATGGTGGTCTTTTGTGCATCCCAGTCAGCAACCGCAAGATTGCCAACAAAATGATGGTAGGCCTCAATTGACTTAATCGCCTGACTGGCAAACATCTGGAAGGCACCTCGACGGGACCTTTGTTGGCCAAACTGCATGCTGGCATCGCACACCTTCTTGTATTGTGCGACACTAGCAGTATCGATGCTTGCCAGCTTCTTCATGACACTGCTCCTTGCTGCAACGACTTCCACCTTCTTGGCCTCAATGTACTTGTGTTTCTCGTCCCTGGAATCCATGAGGTGCTTTTTGGATGCCACCGCAGCTTTGATGAGGGCCTGCTTCTTCTCCATGTCTGCCTCGAGCTGTGACTTCTTCGCGGCGAATTCCTCAGAGTCCACCTCACCAAATTTTCTGTCAAAGTTGCTCTTGAAATCCTCATAGTCCTCTGCAGCGATCTGCTCCCTCTTCCGCGATCGATTACGGAACTGACGCATACCCAGCAAGAGGATATCTCCAAGCACATCTAAGCCGAACCTGCCAACGGTTGATAGCTGATGCGCATGGTGGGCTTCCTTCAAAGCCTTCATTGTGTCTGATTGGATTCCAGCCACCTTTTCCATCTCAGCTAAGAACCGCACCTGCCGCATGATGAAGTGGTTTTCGGCCAGAAACTCATCCAACTTGAGCTCTTGTTCAATCAAGTCCTCATCCAGCTTGCTAAGGTCTTTCTTTGCCTGTTCGAGCTCATCACGGAGACGCTCGAAGGTTGCTTGCTCCTCTTCGACTCCACATTGGTTGCTGAAGTTCTTGAGATTTTCGTCAAGTGCCTCGGCCAAGGCATCCACGTTGCAGTCTTCAACCTCCTTCACAGCCTTGAGCTTGAGCAGTACCCTGGACAAACCCAACACTTCGCACATTTCCGCTGCTGGAACCTGGGCCAACGACACCGACATTGCTAACGAACTCCAAGAACTGGCCATGGACGTGATCTCGCCAAGCAGATCTGCCATGGCCTGCTCTTGCGATAGCATTGTCTTGTTGGCATCCTTCATCTGACTGCGCAGGCTTTGCATGGCCTCGGACTCACTGCCAAGGTTGGCAACCTCCTGAAGCTGCGTCATGGTTCTCCTGAGATTGATGTTTGCCACGAGCACGTTGTAGATGCCCTGCACAGCCGACACATCCGGGCTCACCGGGGATGCCAACAGCGCACCGCTGTCTTGCAAGGAAAGCTTGCCCAGCGACATCACGAGCGAATCTCACAGAGATAGATCCGAAATGGCTCTCATAGCATGCCCCCCGCAAAACAAACTGATGAACAATGGCACTCACTTCTTTCCTACGCCCTCAGTGGCTAACCTTCCCAGAAGAACAGGTGGCGGCAGGCAACTCGGGTCTTTTGGCTGTTGCCTCTCGGTCAAATTGGTTTCCAGGAGGCAGCGTTCGGGACGCTTCTCCCAAGTTGGGCGGCGCCTTGTGCGCTGGAGCTGTGCAGGCGATGCGCCCTCCCTCGGAGACCTGGAGCGAGATCAGCCCTTAGAGCCGCTGTCCCCCCAAAAGGATCCCCGAGTTCGGACGCGAAGCCGAAACAAAATCCTCGGCGAGGTCCCGCTGTCCTGGGAGACGCAGGAGCACGACCTTACCGACCACGAGAGGAACACTTGGGCCTCAGCTGCGCCTAGGCCCTTTGACCTGATCTTCCCTCTGTGGTCTTCCGGGCCTTTGGTGGGGTTCAAGTCTTCAGGAATTTAAGGCCTTCGGGGGTATTGAATCTCGGCTTGCGTATGGCTTCTGCATTGTGTTATGCTTAAACCAGGCCTATAGATCGAGAACTCGGAAGAGCAAGGGATTACACCGCATGCATCTTCAAGCTTCTTGCAGGGTGTCAACCCATGCCCGGGAACGGAACAGGAGAAGGAGATCAGGCTGAGGCGCACCTGAAGGACGGGAGATGTGGGGACGGAATTTTTTGGATCACCCGTCCCGTCCCAACCTTTACAGCAGGGGAGGGTGGGGGGGGGGGGGGTCGATGATTCGTGCAAGATTAGTGCGCGCTCACAGTCAGGACGGTCCCACAGACATGCAGGCGCTGCAGGCAAAACGTCTTGACCACGAGTTCCTGAGCTGGGACAAAACAAAGCACCGTTTGCGCAGAGCTAAAGCACAGGGGAGTGCGACTCACTATGACTCAAGCAACCACTGCACCCTTTGTCTATGTGTGTATATGTGTGTGTGTGTGTATGTATAAACCTACCTACATACGTACATACATACCTAAAGGCAGACAGACATAGAAAAGTACACACTACATACAAACACAAACTACATGTATTTATGCACGTATACGTGTACATAATTACAGAAAACACAGTTGATTAATGACAACTCCGACTTTTTGCAGCGCCCAGGCTCCATCATATTTGATGCTGAGGCTGAAAGGCTCAGTTCCTCGACGAGCGCTTTCGACTTCGCTTCCGACGCGATGTCAGAAACGTTGCTGCCACCGGACGCCGACTCACCTGATTTTGGGCCATTTGGGCACCGAGGTTTAAGGTGAATTCGACTTGTAGAAATAAGTATGACAACATTATCAATATCAACACTAAAACCGAAAAGTAGTAAGAATAAGTTTCATGTGAATATACCGGTGTTTCTGCATCGCTGGCTCTTCCAGCCCGCCTCTGCCCCTTGTGTCCTGCTTACTGTTTCAGCAAACCCTTCTAGTGGGCCTTATCACCCATTAAACGAACCCTTCAAGAACCCCTTACAAGGGGACCCTACTGTAGAACCCTCCAGGACCCTTCAAACGGAGAGCCTAGTCTAGAACCCTGCAGCACCCTTTAAAGGGAGCGTTGCAGAACCCTTGAAAGGACCGCTTAAAGGAGCCCTTTCAGGAACCCTAGCCCTTAAAGGAACCCTAAACCCCGCCCTTAACCTTAACCCCCTGTAAACGGGCCTCAAGGAACCCTAAACCCCCTGTAAAGTTGCCCCTGAAAGGAACCCTAAACCCCTTTAAAGGAACCCTGAACCCCAAGGCCCCAAAACTCGCGGCCCTGCGCCTGGCGTCGGGCGCTCCGGAACCGGGAGCTTTGGCTTCGGGGTCAGGCCCAAAGAGGCCATGGCCACCATGGAGTCCACGGAGGCCTGGGCTTCAAGGCTCGTTTAGGAACAGAGTCCTTTAAAGGTTCCTTTAAAAGGGGGGGTTTTTATAAGCTTCCTTTAAAGGGGGCTTTAGGGGTTCCTTTAAAGGGCTCCTTCAAGGGGGTTTAAGCTTCCTTTGAAGGGGGTTTAGGGTTCCTTTAAGGGGTACTTCCAGGGTCTGGGATGTAGGCCTTAATAATAAGAGTTTAAGGGTTCCTTTAAGGGGTACTTGGAGGTTCCTGGGTAGTTAGAAGGTTATAAGCCCCCCCATAGGAGTTACAAGTATAGTTACCCTACTTATAATTCCACTTATCATTACCCATGAACCTCCAAGTACCGGGTACTAGAAGGGTTCTATAAGAGACTCCGCTTCAAAGGGTAATGGAAGCCCTGAAAGATTGCAAAAGTTGTTGCCAAAAGAGTTTTTGTGGAATTTGAAGCTTAGGGCCTGCTGGGCTTGGGCTTTACGGTTTAGGGTTTAGGGTTTCGGAATTAAAGTTTAAGAAGTCTACGGCTTTCGGAGTCGGAAAATGATGACCCTATGAAATCCTAAGGAGCGGGAAAAAGAAAGTCCGGTCTGAGAATTGCTTTGCGGAGAGGAGGTGAAGGGGGTTTAGAGTTTAGAGTCTAAGGTTTGGGTTCTGTGGTTTAGGGCCCTTTGGGCCCTTTGTGTTTGGGATTTAACGTTCAGGGTTTCGGAGTTGGAGGGTTCAGGGTTAAGGGTTTAGGGTTCAGGAGGTGCTCCGGTAGGGCCCTTAGTCTGAAGCTCAGCGTCTGGAGTTCCCCTCGCAGCCTCGGAAAGTTGCCAGAAAGACTTGAAGCACTCGAGTGCCTCGGCCCCACAAAGGCTTTAGGGGTACCTTAAGTTGAGGGTCCCTATAATAAGGATCCTACTGTTTAGGGTACTATATTGGGGGGTTCCCCTATGTGTATAGGCTTGCAGGCTTTAGGGTTTCGGCTTGGGGTTTAGAAGGTTTATGGCCCAGAGGGCTTAGGGTTTAAGGGTTCGGCCATATGGGAGTCTCCGAAAATAGGGGACCTTAGTCTAGCACCCAAAAAGGCAGGATCTTTATTATAAGTACCCCAAAATAAGGTACCCCCATTTTCGCAAACTCCCATGAAGGGTTTCGGTGGCTTAGGGCCTGCAGGGTTCAGGGATCTTCCTGACAAAAAAACCCCCGAAGTCCGAAGCGAGCCGAGGGGCCGAGGGTCGTTCCGAAGGATTCCTTGCCAGCATTCCTCCCAGGGCGGAAGTCTGCACAGGATTGGGGGTTTAGGGGCTTAGGGGTATAGAGTTTAGGGGTTCAGGGGTTTAGGGGTTTAGGGGTTTAGGGGTTTGGGCGTTTAGGGGTTTAGGGTTTACGGGTTTAGGGTTTCTGCATGGCTAGGTATTATGGAGAACTGCCACGTGAAGTCCCTGCATAAGTTTACTGCAACGTACCCGGCCCCAAAACGAGGGTTGAGGCTGAGGTCCTTTCAACAGCGACTGCATGCGCGGCTCATTGCATTCCGGGCAAGAGCTCATGGCCAGCTCGACGTCACAGCGGCGTGAGTTGGCAAGGATCTCCTACGCAGAGAAATCTCACGCTGTTGGCGCCAGGGCCTTTTTTGTTTACGGTTGTGATGGCTCTCCCTTTGGCTCCCTTTGGTCGGGCTCAGGGTTTAGGGTTCAGGCACAGAGTCCCTTTTCAAAAGACAGCCGGTGTAAGCAAGACACCGGACTCAACGACGGTTCTTCGGCCTTCGTGCTATTGCCGGGAAATGGCAATCGCCCCGACATCAATGTGTACCTCGGTAGCGGAACCCCAAACCACGCAAGATCACTCAACAGTGAACTCTAGCCCAAACAAACGTCCTCAGAGCTTCTTGCTTCCGTGCTGCCATAGAGCACCCGCGCCAAAAACATCCACTTTCTCGCAGTGAGCTCGCTGCTCAACTATTTCAGGAGCCGCGTATCCTGTTCGCTTCAAGTTGCGAAGCTGATGCTATGGCAAGGAGAAGCACACATGAAAAATGTGCGGCGCCATTGCCTTTGGCCTTCAACGGAAGAGTCCTGGTGAGCCACTGCTCCGCAGCAGCGCAGTAGGATCGTCTAAGGATGCAGCTATGCTGAAATCAACCAGCATAGGACGATGGTCAGCATGCAAGACAACATTTTCCTTGGTGGTTTCAGCTGAGGCTTGGTGGTGGCTCAGTGACTCCCTTTATGAATGCAAGTCTCGGGCTTCACATCCCGGTGGACGATGCGCTGGCTGTGCAGGAACGCCAGCGCCGACATTACACCGATCATGATCTCCGTCCCTCGGAACTCTGGAAGCACCTGGGCAAGTTTCGGAAAGCCAAGAAACACTTTCAGGGCTTGGGGTTTAGGGCATTGGGTTTAGGGCTTAGGGTTTAGGGCCTTGAGTTTAATGTCCAGAGCCCGGAAGAAAGCTACTTTGAAAGACAGCAAACGCTCTTTTGCACAACGAGTGTCGCCGCGTGCAAGCAGGGCTCCAAGATCACCGCTGGAACCCAGCTCCATGACCTGAACCGACCCCAAGCTTCTGGCTCCAAGAAATTAACTGCCACATTATGCGTTCTTTTTTTGTGGAATTGAGGGGCTCATGACTCCTCACCTGCTACTTTTTAATTACATGGTTTGAGATGAGGACTGGTGACGACCGAGAGCACGGCCAGCGCGTAGCGCTCGCGCTTGAAAGAAGCGTCCGCCTTCTCTACACCGAACCTGCAGAGACATCAGGACATCCGGCTGGGCAGCTGGAATGGTTTGCCTGACCGAAACCCCAAACCTACATCAAGGGTTCTACTGCAGCCAGAGCAGCACGCCAAGCAATGATACAATGTTGGGATGCTCGCCCGTCTGAAACATGAAGCCAACTTCTCTTCTGACGCGGTCCTCGTCCGAGTCCGTGACCTTCATTCATAAAGAGGCACCCTTCTCTCCAGGATTTGGTTTCCCTGAACTGAAGAGAATCAGGCTGCCTCACTTGGAACTGTGCTGTCCGGCGAGTCTCGGGTTCGGGGGTTTTCGCGAAGTAGAAACACCCAATCCCCAAAGCCAAACAAGTGCTGTCGCGTTGAGAGTTAAGGGTAGTTCAGGGTGTCTGGATCTAACCCAAACGCTATAACTTACCCCTAAGCCCGAGGATCTAGGTTCTCAGGTCTAAGGTTTCTGGATGGCCTTCACCGCCACCTTGCGGCCCTGCGTCCGACGAGACGGCGATGCCTTTCACGAGCCAGGGAGAAGCTTCTGACTACACATTATAGGTGCGACTTTACGGCATTAATGAAAACAACAAGGGGCATTGAATGAATATGATAGGGTTGTGCGGCGTACTATCCACACACAATATCACACAACAAAAAACAAGGGAACCGGAAACCGCAAACTGAGCCACTGCTGACAGCTTGAACCCCTCTGCGTGCGCCTTCGACTCCCCAACGAACACGGTCCCATGCAGGCCTCACAGTCTTCGAAACTTGTTCAGGAACTTCATTTAAGTGGCCATAATAGGGATCCTAAGTAAATGATATGGTTATCTTATCATGGTAAATTAAAGTACGCGCCAGAATTAGCAAGAACCAAAAATGACAGATGGCAACCGTGGTGGAGACATACATACAAGATGCAGGTTCATCTGAGAAACAGACCTTCGAAACATAAAGATGGCGGACAGTAGCTGTGGAAGGCGCATGGAAAGTAGCTGTGGAAGATGCATGGACTACTTGAGCATGTGTAGTAAGTATTATTTCTACTGTGACTCTTACCAATTTGCTATTACTATTTACTATTATTATTACTATTATTATCACTATTATTAGTACTACTATTATTACTATTATTATTCCTACTATTACTACTATTATTACTACTATTATTACTGTTCTTATTACCATTACTACTATTATTATTACTATTGTTATTACTATTATTAGAACTATTATTATTATTATTATTACTATTACTATTATTACTATTATTACTATTATTACTATTATTACTATTATTACTATGATTACTATGATTACTATGATTACTAGTATTATTATTATTGTAATTACTATTACTATTATTATTGCTATTATTATTATTATTACTATTATTATTGCTATTATTGCTACAATTATTACTGTTTGTACTACTATTATTTCTACTGTTACTCTTACTATTATTACGATTATTATTACTGTTATTATTACTAGTACGATTACGATTATTTCTATTTTTACTACTATTATTAGTCTAGATGGCCGCTTGCGACTGCTGGGAGTTTCGGCCGCCGCGCCTTGTCCACAGGGTCTCACGGCGTCATAGGTCTCACGCAAATCCCAACCTTAACCCCAAGTAACCTACCTTTTTAAGGGATGACCTATAGTCTCCATTGCAGTTCCTTTTTGGTGTTACCTTATAGGATCCTTAATCCTTAACCCAAAGTAACCTACCTTTTTAAGGACATATATAAAGAAATCATATAATTAGGAACCCGAAAAAAAGTCAGGTTCCTTATTGGGTCCAGGAGCGTATAGCTCCGCGGCGGCTAAGGGACTGCAGGAAGTGGCCCAGGCCGTCGGAGTCGAAATGGCCGAAGAGCAGCCACACCTACGGACGGTGCTACGTAGGCAGGTGCATCTAACAAGTAGATTAGCGCAATTATATGGTATATACGTTGTTGATGAAGGATTCATATCCCTAAACCCTAAACTCGAAAACCCATGCGGCCCAGGCACGGGGCGATGAGCATCCGATTTTGCGACTTCTGGAGCCAGCAGCAGGATTTGTGTTGGCGTACGCTCCCTAGAATCTCGGAACTGTGCATCAGTGTACAGCACGTCCGACCATTCCAATGGTATGTAGAACTCAGAAGAATGGCAGGGCGACAGACCATCATCAGCGTCCTAGTCGACAAGTCACAGAAGCCATGACACCCTCAAGAGAACACTCTCGCAAAACTCCCATGTGTCGTGCCACTATCACCCAGTCAAACGGTCCTGGTACTGGATCCCGAGCGGCGTCATGCAGATGGACTCTTGCTTCATGTGTTTCCAAGGCAGCTGGCTCACGCCGCTTGCAGCCTCGTCCATGACATGACGGAGGCCATCGAGACCTGTCGAGCGGTAACGGAGCTTCCGAAAATTAGGGGTACTTTGTTTTGGGGTCCTTATACTAAGGATCCTACTATTTATAGGTTACTATATTAGGGTCCCCTGTTTGCGGAATCTCCCATAAAGGAGCAAGTTTTTGTCACACCGAAAAAACTCAATGCTGTCCGCCTTCATGCTGTGACACTTGGAGCGGGTACTTTGCAGGGGTCCCGTGCACCGGATGGAGCCAACACATCCATGATGACTCCCCAGGCGAAGTGGTGACATTCGATGTCATGCTGTTCTGCATTCCAACTCCTTTTGAGCCACGATGTCAGCCGCATGTGGGAATCCCAAATGCTTCGGATGATCGCCCTGCAGAATAAACAGAGTTTGTCGTGTCGTAGCACAGAACAGGCTTTACTGTATGGCTGCGCGATGAACATTTGATAGCAAGTGCATACTTGATTTTCCACCCCCGTCCCAATGGATTGCACATCCGAAGCATCTGAAGTCCCCGACGACAAACCTCATATAGACATATAAAATAGCCACACATGCATGAAGGTACATGAGCACGCATGTCTGTCTGCTTCCATCATATCTCGAGTGGTCTTCCAAGCCTAAATTTGCTCCACGCACAAAATTTCGGTCAGTGGATCTTTGTTGTCACCGCCAACCCGCACGGCGGAACGGGGTCGTCCCATGTGGGCTGCTTTGACCCCTCTGTGCCGGCCAGCCGTGGTTGACTCGTTTGACCTCCAGCTCCCCGTGGTTTGTTTGGTTGGTCGCCATTTCTTATAGGATGTCTTGGTTAGTCTAACTAAAAAAGCTGTAAAACAATTTCATAGGATCTTATAGGATGTCATAGGATGTCATGAGATTTGACAGGGCTTCGTAAATGTTCCTACAGCTCATACTAGGTCGTATCTTAGAATAAATCAAAAACATTGTTTGAAATGTCCGAGGATTTCGTGGATTTACAATCATACATCTTGCTAAATTGCGTGCCACACGATGTCGTAAGATTTGCAAAATTCCGATTGTTTCTCGTGGAATCCATAGATTTCCGACAGTTTCATACTATATGGAACGATGTCAAAAATTTCATAAACTTCTGGTCAGATGACGTAAAGATCTTGTATTTTCGAAGGCTTCATACGCAGTACGATGTCGTAGGATTTCACAAGATTTCATAAGGTTTCGAAGTATTTAACACTTTTAGATGGGATTTCGTTGACAGGCCGCTGTCGTGGGCCCATCATTTTACTAATTATGCTGCATGTCAAACTCTAAACGTGCAAGTCGCAACTTCTGTGGAGGTCACCTGCTATGTCCTACGTTTATTGTGCTTTTTTGGGCCCCCCACGTGATGAAGAACAGGCACCAATAAACTTCGCAAGACGTTTTAAAGCTGGAAATCAACCTAACTTATTTCCGCCTTACCTCTCTCTCACTACGTTTGACTCTTGACACTTCGTGGAGCGTGGCAGTGCCGTAACACACTTACAAGAAGGATTTCACTTACAACAAAACTTCACCTGAATAGGGGTTCATGAGATAAGACAAGGGATAAAAGTTTTTCTTTCAAGAGAGCTTCCAACACATTCCGTTGTAAATACGTACTTCTATCAAGCGCGGAGCAACGAGAGCGACTCCTGGGACAAGTTCTTTTTCTTCGCAAATCACTCTTGGCTGTAAAAGGTCAGTTCTATCTTTTGTTCCAATTTCGTGCCAATTTATGTCAATTTTGCGCCAAGCCATTTCAATTTTGTTCCAATGGAAAATTAGCATTTTTCGAGCGCAAATTCGCATCAAAAGCAAAATTATTCGAGCAAAGTCACGTGGAAAATTTAAAGTCATTTTGGTCGAAATTTATGCAAACTCCATCAAACGCGAAATTATTTCAAAATGAATCAAGTGTCGAGTCAAAATTCGCGTTATTCTCGCAGCAAGTTCGAAAAAATATCACGAAGATTGCAATTGCTTGCCTCGAAACTGAAGATTTCACATAACGATCCGCTTGAAATGAAAAAATCACATGGTTTGCATTTTACCGTGTTCTCAAGTATCCCCACACTCCAGACTCGAGCAACATTAAAAGCGGCTTCAAAACCATTCCTACGGCGGACTTCTTTGACATCACTTTTGCGATCCAGTGCTCGGGCACCCAGCAGCTCTGGACCTTTCGGCCGTGAACCCACAGGTCCACAGGCCCACACCTGGGTCTAAATCACCAAATCCCTGTACGCACTCGTCGACAGTTGCCCTCGCTGTAAAAGCAAGCTGGACTTCTGGCTGCACACAAGAGATGAAAAGCAAGCCAAACCCTGAAGCCATCCGGGAGCCCTCAAACCCTAGACATCCTGGGTGCCCGAGCACTGGATCGCAAAAGTGATGTCAAAGAAGTCCCCTGCGGAGTCAGGGTTCTCATGAGCGTGGTGCGGAATATTAAGGATATGAGGGTTGTGAGGTCATCTCCGGGCAATGCGGCTACCGGTTTAGGGTTTTTTCTGAACTTGCTGCCGCTGCGCGACTACTCCAACTTGTAGCATGCGCCACAAGAAGCATACAGCTGCTATCTCCCTGACAACGCCGGCGCGCTTGTTTGGTTGCTCCATACTCTTTCCCCCTAGGTGGCTGATACAGCCCACTCGGAGTGCCTCCTTGAGTGAAAACACCTACCCGGACAACCTCCTCAGGCCGGGCCCCCGCCCCATTTCCCGCCCCTGATTTGGGCCACATGCCTCTTGCAGTTTTGGTTCCATGCCTCCCAAGCCCAAAAACCGGATGCCCTGCAGTTTTGCCCCGAAACGCCCAAACCCCCGCTCATACCCTACCCTCGTACCCTAAACTTTGGCCTCAAACCATGAATCCCTAAACCTTACCAAGACCTAGATAATTGCGAAACCAAAACGCTGCTACGCATGACCTGGTTGTTGTTTTCTTCCTTAACGGGTCCTTCTCCTGCTTCCTAGTCAATGCATCTCTCACAGGGAACCCACTGAGCACGCCTGCTTGCTCTGACAGGGCCGGCGCCCGGTGGGGCCTCAAATCGGCTCCCGGCTGGCCAGCTCCTGCAAAGCATTCCACGCTTTGAGAGGGTCGCTCGATCCCAAGACCAGGCTCTCACACGCATGCAACTGGGCAAGCAGCAAGCGCCACCAGGGGCCAGGCACTCTCAGCTTTGTCAGCTGTGTTTTCGCGATCCAGGCACTTGTCAGCCATGAGTGCCGCCTTTCGGTATCATGACAGAAGCAGCTGTTGATTCAACTGCTTTTTCACGGACTCAAAAAGGCGCCCATCCTGCAGGACAGCGGGGTACCTTGGGTCCCCGCTAATTCAAAACTTGCGCGCGAGTGCTGAAGCTGGACTGCTTCTGTCCGTTGCACAGCTTTTTGCGGCTTCTGCGATGCCCTCAATCCTGATTAGACAGCGAAACTGAATCAACGCGTCAGCTCGGCAACTCCTGACTTTTCAGAGAAGATACAACTGCGCATCCTAAGAACAGCGCTGCGCTGGCAAAAGCATGGGCAGCCAGACAGGTGGCGGCCCTGTGGCCGAACAGAACTGGGACTGTGACTGTGCCTTGCGCTACGTCTCCCACCATGTCTCGGGCATCACTCATGATTGAGCCAGCCAGGCCAACACAGAAAGTGGCTGCTGCAGTCAGGCGAAGGCGTCCTCGAGACAGCTGCCCCTCAGAGGCAGCCATGCAGCAGGGGAGCACAACTTGACCTTGGGCATAGGCGCCCCCAACAAGAACGTTCTTCATGAACGGGATCTGCTTTAGACGGATGCCGCGGGAGTATGAGCTTAACAGCAGTACAGCAAGAAAGACGTAGCGCTACTTGGATTCCATGGGCGACTTGAGCACCATTGCGATGGCCATGGACAGCACGGCTGAGAAGATCACGAGGCCTGCGGCAGCATGCTGCGCAGCGAACGCCGCGCGGTCAGGGTGATTGATGCGGTCTGCAATGGGATCAATGAAGACTACCCTGTCAAATCCGTAGAGTGCCATTGCGAAGAGGCCTGGGGTCAGTATGGCCGGAACGAACCGCTTGAGTGGCAATGTGCTGCTGAAGGGAGGCACGATAACGAGGCGGAGGGTCATCCAAGCCAGCAGGCTGACGACGATGCCCGTTCCAACCTCATTTACCCACATGAGATTCGAATCTGCTGCCAAAGCACACTTCGCGCACCTCCGACCTTGGGCCTTAGGCCATCTTGCAACTGAGATCCCAACCTGCATTGTGCGAAGGGTCGAAACCAGAGACATCGAAGCCCACGTCATTGCCAGATACATGAAAGTAGGCTGCTCTACCCTAGCATGCATGGAATGCTGAGAGCCGAAGATAAGGGCATCAAGAAACAAAGCGAAAATCTTGTTGCGCACTGGGTCATGCCTGCAAGCCCATGCCCACGACATCAGAACCGCCGGCCGCGGGATGCTCACATTAACCTGTAAACGCCTAGCAATCGCCGTCCTGCCAGCAAGCGTTGCCTGAGCTGCCGCGGGACAGGTGGCCTGCTCTCCGTGCTGCATTTAGCCCGTGAAGCTCCAGGTTTCTAAGAGCCTGTTTTGTTGCCTCTTCCTTGTTCCAGCTTTGACATTGTGAGGGCCTCAGTTCGAGATAAACCGCCTGCGTCTGACTGGGCCTGTTCGAGCAATCTTGGGCTACTCTGAGCCTGCAGTCTTCGGACTTGGAGGCTTGTCCTAGGGTGTCCGATGCCACTTGCTCGCCTGCGGGATGCGGGCCGTGCGCCCTGAACGCAACCCTTCACCACCACCTGCCCCCATCCCCCCTCCCAAACAAAAATAGAAATACAAGCGCACTCAAAGCCAAACCCCAAAATCCATAAACCCACAGGCCAGGAGCCCTGGCATCTAGCCTTCAGTGTTGGGCTTGCAAGGTCTCATTTTGGGCATTCACGGATGTCCCCAAGAAGGAGGCGAGGTTGCAACACGGGATCACGTCCACGCCGAAGCAGCAATT